TATTTGCCCAAGGTTACACAACTATTGAGTTGTAAAGTGGGAAACTGAACCAGACACTTGGGTCACAAAACTAGCCTCCAACCATTAGAAAAAAACACTTTCAGTCCAGTGCAGGTGGCTCACACCTATAATCATAGCTACTCAGGAGGCAGAGATCAGGAAGATCTGGTTGGAAGCCAGCCCCAAGCAAACAGTTTTCGAAACTCTATCTTGAAATAACCCATTACAAAAAAGGGTTGGTGGAGTGGCTCAAGTGATAAGAGTGCCTCCTTATCTGTGTGTTGTTGACACACAGAAAACAAACAAACAAACAAACAAAAACAGATGGAAGAAGTCAGAAACATACACACTTCTACAGTGTTAGAAATCAAATCAGTACTTGGATAGAGAAAAGTGGTAGAAATGTTCTGTATTTTGATGTGATGGTGAGTACACATGTGAGATTTCTCAAAACCCATTTAACTCTCTATTCAAAATCCGTATGTTTTACTGTCTACTGATTAGATCTCAATAAAACTGACTTAGGGGAAGAAACTTATTGATAATTCCAAAGGTTGATCAATAGGAGACTGCTTAAATAAATTATGATCCATCCAACAAATCCCACGCAGCTATAATGAAGAAGTATATTCCAGGTACCAATATGAAAAGGTCCCTGAAAGCTACAGTTAAGGAAAATAAGCAAGACACAGATCAATGGTACAGTATGCTACCTTTTAGGTAAAAAGAAAGAAGAAAAAAAAGAATAGTCCCAATTACTCTGGAAGCCGAGGCAGGATAATCACTTGAGCCCAGGAATTTGAAGCCAGACTGGGCAACGCAGCAAACCTCTAGCTAAAAAATTTAAAAAACTCAGGATATATATATATATCTCAGTTGTAAAGCAATAGCCTAGCATGTACAAGTCCCTGAGTTTGATCCCCAGCACCTCACTCAAAGAGAGCAACTACACTAACTTCTACTTATATATACAGAAAGAAACTGGAAGCATATACAAATAGTAATTTTTTTGGCGGTACTGGGATTTAAACTCAGGGCCTCATGCTTGCTGGCATAGTAATTAATTTTAGAAGGCAATGGAATAGGGCAGAGGGAAAGGGAAGGCAGTGAGTATTTCACTGTTTACCTGACTTAAGAAATGAAAAAAGTACTTGGTTGCTCCAGAAAAGGCATCTGTCCAAACTTCTCTACATCACATTCCAATCCTTTCCAATTATATATAAATGTGAAAAAAAAAAAAAAGACCCAATTTCATGCTATGTAATCATGAAAAAAACTGTTAAGAGCATAGTTGGTGAAATGACTGGTAAAGCTGTGATGATGAAACACATTAATGTAAGTTAGTTTGTGGGAGAGAGGACAGTACTGGGGTCTGGAGGGCCTTGCCCTTGCTACACAGGCACTCTACCACTTGAGCCACACCCCAGCCCTTTTATCACTTTAGTAAATTTTTCAAACATGGACTTGCATTATGGCCTAGAGCCCAACCTTGGACTAAGATCCTCCTACCTATGCCTGCTGAGAAGCCAGAATCACAGGCGCACACCACCATGTGAGTTTGTTGATTGCTCATGCTGGCCTCATACTGCAGTCCTCTAGATCTCTGCCTCTCCAGTACCTGGCATTACAAGCATGAGCCAAAGCACCAGCTAATGAAAGTTAAATTCCATGTGTCAACTTTATTTGTATTTCCTTCTACTGGGAAGGTTTGTTAGATCATTAAGGTTATAATAAAGTACTCTTCTGTGTGCTAGTTAGTTTGTTTGAAAGAAATCCAGAATTATGACTTTTAATTCACAGAGTTGTCAATAACATTTAACATTTATGGTTACCTTTCCTCCTGTTGTCCATCTAACCAGCTTTACTCACCAATTAATTCTCTTCATTACAGTTATAATTTATTGTTTGTAAAGATGCCTTGAAACATATTAAATACCAACATGCATCTAGAAAAAAAAGAAAAAGAGCACACACAATAGGGTCACACTGCCTGAGGTGAAGACCCATCTATGCCACTTAACTTCATAACTGTGTGAAAGTTATGTCTCTCCTCCTCAGTTTCTTATCTCTAAAACAGGTTTCTGGGAAGGCTCAAAGAGAAATTACATGGAAAGCACTTAGGTTAATAAAGACCCAGTAAATAGCATAAAAGCAAATCAATTAATAGATATTCAATTAAAAAATACAAGCAGGGTACAGTGGCACATGTCCCAGCTACTTTGGAGGCTGAGGTGGGAGGAGGATCATGTTAACTGACAAGTTAGAAACCACTCTGGCAGCATAGTGGGATTCCAGTCTGGGGGAAAAAAAGAGAAAAAACATGGTATTTTTGTATATATTTGTGTATACAGGTAAATGCAAGAAAGGATCTCAAATTCTTTAGATTAAAAAGAATTTTACTTTCTTCCATTCTGCACTGTTTTTCCCTCTAACCTATTTTCAACTCTTCAGCCAAAAAAAAAAAACCCTACCTAAAAAAATACATTGCTTCATGGTCACCCCTCATCTTAAAACACTTCAGGGGTTTCCATTACACTTAAGATCAAATCCAAACTACTTCCCAGGCCTTGTATGTCCTTGTTCCTGCCTAGGTCTCCAGCCATCTCATCCTTTCTCCACTACACTACTGCTGTAGAAGTCATTCTGATCACTTTTATTAGTAGATCCCTTCCTGTTTTTCTTTCTCAACTCCTTGTCTGTTTCCTTCATTGAAAGTGCCATAATTTAAAATTATTGCATTTGGTTGGGTGGTGGCTCACATCTATAATCCTAGCTATTCAGGAGGCAGAGATCAGGAGGATAGCAGTTCGAAGTCAGCCCAGGCAAACAGTTCTCGAGACCCTACCTCAGAAAAAACCCATCATAAAAAAGGACTGGTGTGGTGGCTCAAGATGTAGGCCTTGAGTTCAAGCCCCGATACTGCAAAAAATAAATAAATTAGTTCATTTGTGTTTATTTTCTTGTCTCCCCTAGAATGGAATCTTCAAGAGGGCAGACCATTTTAACTTTATACTGAAATCTAGTAAACACTATAATCCACATAAACACATACAAAAAACCTTATATGTAATACTTACATATTATTAACTGAAACAAAACTTTAAAATCATACATTTGATAAGGGAGATGGCCCTTTAATAATATTTTCAGATCAATGTCATAAGATATTGTAATCATTTTTATATGCTCTTTTCCCTAGTGGAAAAACAATGATGTGCACTATTTTCATTCATGATTTCAATAAATAAATCCACAGCAGTGATTTAAATAATGAAAAATTAACCTGCTGGGGAAAGATAATTCAATTATATTGCTAATTCTAAATTATCTCAAACTCCAGTAGTATCATAATCTAACCAGTCATTAACCAAAAAAAAAAAAAAAAAAAAAAAAAAGGCAAGGAATAGATGCAGAATATTCAGATAAGGGACCACTTACTAGGGAATCCCAAAGTGAGTTCAGATAGGAAGGAGAAAGATGGAAACCAATGTTAGTCTTCCCCTTCCCATCCAATAGAACCCTATTCTTCTAGACCAGCAAGCCAAAAAGCTTGGTATTGTCCTTGATTCCTTTTTCTTTCATTTCCTAATCCAGTGCATCATAAACATCCTCTTGGTTTGCCAAGACAATATATCCAAAGTCTGACTCTTCTCACTAACCCCACATCAAAAAAAAAGAAAAAAAGAGAAATTTTGGGAAAATGAAATTACAAATGAAAAACACCACCGAGTACCCATTATGAACTATGCTTTAACTTATAAGGCAATCACCAGAGGCCATAGCTAATGCTAGAATTTTGAAGTAATGCTATGTAGAACTTCTAAGCCAGTAACCAGAGCCAGAATCTCCCTGTTAAAATAAGTATCACCCCAAGTTGCTATCAAATAATTTGGTGGTTTTTTTGTGGGGGGGCAGCTTTGGGGTTAGAACTCAGGATCTTGAGCTTGCTAGGCATGCCCTCTACCACATGAGCCACATCACCAATCCTGTTTTGCTTTACTTATTTTCCAGGTAGGGTCTTGACTTTTTGCCCAGGAGGGGCCTCAGACCTTAATCATCCTATCTATGGCCTCTAGTAACTAAGATCCTAGGCAGAGGGCCATAATATGCACCTTACTGATTAAGATGGGGTTTTTGCTGACTTTTTGCAGAGGCTGAATTGTGATTACATGGCTGAATACATTCAAAGTTCATCAAGCTGTACATTTTTAAAGAGCACAACTTACTGTATGTAATACACCCTAATAAAGTTTATCTAAACAAATGCAATAATCTGTCCTGTTACCCTAAATTAACAACAACAAAAAAAACCCCACTGTCTCAAAGAGAATTTGTGTAAGGAGATCTAATACAACAGAAGTGAATTGTTAAGAAAGAGTGAGGGAACCTAAGTCAATGGCAAAAAAAAAAGAAAAAAGAAAAAAAGAAAAAGTTCATCTCACGACCTTCTGGCCTCAAGGTCAACTCAAAATAAAGGGGGAAAAAAGAGGTGGCAACAGCATAATCGAGGAAGGAGGAAAAAAAAAATCTCAGCATCTCCAATCTCAGCATCTCAAGAAAATAAACGTTCCAAACGGTACTAGTTCACAAGGCATACTGGAAAGACCACACGTATGGGGCACTTCAGACTGGGTTCCCACTCATTAGGCCGTTAAGTGTGTGACCTTGAGAGTTCTCCGCTGCTCTGAGCCTCAGTTTCCCTTGGTGTAAAATGGAGATAATGGTTTCAGAGTTTAACCTGGCACACTGCAGGCGCTCAATACTTAAGAAGTACATGATGTTACACATAAGGCAAGAGAATGTGGCGCTGGCTGCAGACCGATGTGAGCCCCACCCCGTCATTCCCTCCACCACCTCCGGTCCCCAGGGAGTGAGGAGTGTCCCCCGCCGTACGTCTCATCGTCTTCGGCCAGGCTGCATTTCCTCCCCACGCACTTTCCGCGCAGCCTTCTCACCCCTCACCCGGCAGCAACCAGGGCAGCCCACCTCCCCGGCCCCACCTCGTTGAGGAAGCGGGTGATATCGTAGACTCGCCCGTGGATCACCAGCCATATCTCCTTTGCGGTGTTGCGCTTCGCCACCTCCTCCAAACGATAGTAGGTTACAGCGGTCTCGCTGCCCTGCCCTTTCCCGTCGCTCCCGCTAGCTTCCACGGTCGCCATGGGCTCTACAGCACCTTCTCTTCGATGCTCTCTAGGTTCTGCCGCTAACTTCCCGGAGCTAGAGCCCGCGCGCGGCCTTCCTCGGCTTCCGTAACCGGGTGAAGGACTGGTACGAGGTCGACTAGCCAATAAGGGTGGTCCAGCCGATCATCCTAGCCAATCAGATACCGCGATTTGCGAAGGGCGCCGAAAGGAGGTGTGCTGACAGGTGTTACCTCGGGGTAAGTCCCCCTTCGCTCTAGCCACGGATCTGCAGAGTCCTGACCGGGGGGTCCGGGTTTCCAGAGCCCCGGGATGCCCTCTAGATCTTGCGAGGCCCGTTTTCCCCGCTACCTGCGCTGCTCGGATGCCTGCAGGCTGTGATATTCCTAAAACTCGGTTTCCTCACCGGTAAAATGGGCGTGATAACCTCTCCCTTACAGAGGGTTTGGCACATTAAATGATAGTGCGTCTATAAAGCACCTGGCATATGGTTACGTAAATGACAGCCAACGCTGGAAATTCAGGGCGACTGGCCCGAAGCCTTCGCACAGCCACGGGAGTAGGGGTGGGGCGTATCTACCACTGCTGAGAGCCCAGTTTTTTAAAGTTACGTAACACGCGCACGTGATGTACAGCCAAACAGTTCCACCGTTTTCTTACACAAAGTAAGTCCCTCACCCTAGACCTCCTTTTCTCCCGTCCCAGAGACTGCAAGCAACCACGTTGAATTCTGTACTGACTTTTGGGGGCACTGACCCCTCCAAATGACATGATTTTGTTTGTGTCTGAAGTCTGTCTTGTTTCTATTTTTAACCTTCAGTCATTATCTTTTGACTTCCTACTCTGGAAGATGAGAATTTAGATCTGTAAGAATCTGACTTTTAAACGAATTTTTTGTGATCAGATCTACACTATTTTCGTTTTTACGTGACCTAAAATAGAATTCACCTCAACTGTCCCCCCTGCTAGAAGTCCTGGCATTTTGGAATTCCTAGTTTTTAGTTAATGTGCAGGTACTTATTTTTTAACTGCCATTAAAAATGACAGATTGGGGGCTGGGGGCGTGGCTCAGGTGGCAGAGCAGGCGCCTACTTAGCAAGCAAGAGGCCCTGAGTTCAAACCCCAATACTGCAAAAAAATTGAAAATTTAAAAAATCCTAAAATGTCATTTTCATTATGTCACTTTCACAGAACTTTCCACAATCCATCTGCAACCACTTTCATAATATTTTCTACCATTCCTTTCTAAGTCTTGTGCACCCACTTCCCTTTTAGAATCTTGCTCTCTCTAAACTTTAACTTTCCACAGCTCACTTCCCTAATTAGAATGAAGCTATGAGAGCATTTAGCATCTTCCACAAAGATTCAATTTACATTCACTTCAGAGATATTTTCTGCATCATAAGTTCTGTGATGGGTCTGGGGATAGAAACATAATGTAAGAAAGACACTCTCTGAAGGCTGGGGGTGTAGCTCACTGGCAGAGCCCTTGCCCACCATGTATGAAGACTTTGGTTCCATCACCGGTACTGCCAAAAAAAAAAAAATCCAAAGACACAAGCTCTGGAAAAGAAAGTATTACTCACACATATATGTGTGTATGTACAATTCAATATCTAGAATAGAGGTTTATGCCAAACGCAATGGGACCCAGCTCTCAAAATAGCTTTTTAAATGAATTATTCACACTTAATCCCAGGACATGAGTCTTCTAAGGAAGCTCTATTTTAAAAAGCGTATTTTTGGGGAGGGGAAAACTCTCTAAGTGGGAAGGGGAAAGAAGAGGATACTGAGGAGTGAAGAGGACCAAACTACAGCCACACACACACACACACACACACACACACACACACACACACACGTATAAAGACAGCACAATGAAACATACCAGACATTTTGAGAAAGGGGTTAGGAGAGAAGGGGAAATGGGAATGTAATGGAGTGAGTCTGGATATAGAAACAGAAATCATTATTTTTGCCAATTAGTTCAGGTAATTCTGATGCAGTTGACCTGTGAACGGCTTTGGGAAGCACCAAACTTTTTTGACGCATATTAAAAATGTCTTTACCTTACTTACAGTGAGTTAGTAAAATTATCCAGCATTTCCTCTTCCTCTTCCTCCTCATGTAGGTAAGTGAGTCCAATCATGTTTTTAAGACCATGAGAGGATAGAATGGGAGAACCCCTCAGCAAAGGAAGGGATTAGAAAAACAAAATACACTTGGAGGACAAAAAAAAAAAAGCATGCATCCCCTTGGGCTAGGGAAGAGATTTCCAAAGATGGCAAAAGGAAAGTAGTTGGGGACTCCTGTAGTACCTGGTCTCAAAGGGACCTCAACATGTGATAGGACTTCAAAGAAGGGCTACTATAATGCATGCAGGGAGACTGGACTCTATGTGCCAGGGTGCCCAATTAACAGATATACTTTAGCCACAATGCAAGGCTGTCAGCTCTGCGACAGATCTCTCAGGCAGTGACCAATGTGGACTGAAGGCAAAGGGCCCATTCTGAATATATTGTACTATGAAAAACCCCTGAGCAGAAGAGGAACATTCATAAGTGATGAGACTGATTTGTCACCAATATGGCAAGTGGAATTAAGATCAGATTAAAGGGTTTTTGAATTGTCATACTTTTAAAAAAAAAATTACAAACAGGCTGCAAAAATAGTATGAAGAACTCCCATATATGGTTTACTTAAATTCACTTATTGTTAATATTTTTTAAAATATTCGATTTCTCAACATAGAAAAATCATTAGCATTTCTATACACTAATAATGAGCAAAATGAAAAAGAATGTATGAAAACAATTCCACTTACAATAGCCTCAAAAAAAATCAAATACCTAGGTGTACACCTAACAAAAGATGTGAACGACCTCTAAAAGGAAAACTATAAACTTCTGAAGAAAGAGATTGAGGAAGACTATAGAAAGTGGAGAGAGCTCCCATGCTCATGGATTGGTAGAATCAACATAGTAAAAATGTCTATACTCCCAAAAGTAATCTACATGTTTAATGCAATTCCCATCAAAATTCCAATGACATTCATTAAAGAGATTGAAAAATCTACCGTGAAATTTATATGGAAACACAAGAGGCCACAAATAGCCAAGGCAATACTCAGTCAAAAGAACAATGCAGGAGGTATCACAATACCTGACTTCAAACTATATTACAAAGTAATCACAATAAAAACAGCATGGTACTGGCACAAAAACAGACATGAAGACCAGTGGAACAGAATAGAGGACCTAGATATGAAGCCACACAACTATAACCAACTTGTCTTTGACAAATGAGCTAAAAATATACGATGGAGAAATAGCTGGGAAAACTGATTAGCAATCTGCTAAAAACTGAAACTAGATCCATGTATATCACCCTATACCAAGATTAACTCAAAATGGATCAAGGATCTTAATATCAGACCACAAACTCTAAAGTTGATACAGGAAAGAGTAGGAAATAAACTGGAATTAGTTGGTATAGGTAAGAACTTTCTCAACGAAACCCCAGCAGCACAGCAACTAAGAGATAGCATAGATAAATGGAACCTCATAAAACTAAAAAGCTTCTGTTCATCAAAAGAAATGGTCTCTAAACTAAAGAGAACACCCACAGAGTGGGAGAAAATATTTGCCAGCTACACATCAGACAAAGGACTGATAACCAGAATATATAGGGAACTTAAAAAACTAAATTCTCCCCAAACTAAAGAACCAATAAAGAAATGGGCCAGTGAACTAAACAGAACTTTCTCAAAAGAAGAAATTCAAATGGCCAAAAAACACATGAAAAAATGCTCACCATCTCTAGCAATAAAGGAAATGCAAATTAAAACCACACTAAGATTCCACCTCACCCGTTAGAATAGCCATCATCAGCAACACCACCAACAACAGGTGTTGGCGAGGATGCGGGAAAAAGGAACCCTCTTACACTGCTGGTGGGAATGTAAACTAGTACAACCACTCTGGAAAAAAAATTTGGAGGCTACTTAAAAAGCTAGACATTGATCTACCATTTGATCCAGCAATACCACTCTTGGGGATATACCCAAAAGACTGTGACACAGGTTACTCCAGAGGCACCTGCACACCCATGTTTATTGCGGCACTATTCACAATAGCCAAGTTATGGAAACAGCCAAGATGCCCCACCACTGACAAATGGATTAAGAAAATGTGGTATCTATACACAATGGAATTTTATGCAGCCATGAAGAAGAATGAAATGTTATCATTCGCTGGTAAATGGATGGAATTGGAGAACATCATTCTGAGTGAGGTTAGCCTGGCCCAAAAGACCAAAAATCATATGTTCTCCCTCATATGTGGACATAGAATCAAGGGCAAACACAACAATGGGATTGGACTTTGAGCACATGATAAAAGCGAGAGCACACAAGGGAGGGGTGAGGATAGGTAAGACACCTAAAAAATAGCTAGCATTTGTTGCCCTTAACACAGAGAAACTAAAGCAGATACCTTAAAAGCAACTGAGGCCAATAGGAAAAGGGGACCAGGAACTAGAGAAAAGATGAGATCAAAAAGAACTAACCTAGAAGGTAACACACATGCACAGGACATTAATGTGAGTCAACTCCCTGTATAGCTATCCTTATCTCAACCAGCAAAAACCCTTGTTCCTTCCTATTATTGCTTATACTCTCTCTACAACAAAAGTAGAAATAAGGGCAACATAGTTTCTGCTGGGTATTGGGGGGGTGGGGGGGAATGGGAGGGGTCAGAATGGGTGGTAAGGGAGGGGGTGGGGCAGGAGGGAGAAATGACCCAAGCCTTGTATGCACATATGAATAATAAAATAATAAAAAAAAATATTCGATTTCTCACATGTATTTTTGTTATCGTTGTTAATAGTACTGAGCTATTTCAGACATTCTGAACCTTTACCTCCAAATAATTCTACATGTATATTCTAGGAATAAGAAATTTTGCTATATAACCTCCAGTATAAATTTTCAATCCAGGGAATTTAACATTCATACAAAACTATGTTTTAGAGCTATAGCTCCAAGTAACTACTCAGGAGG